GATTTAAATTCTTTCAATTGCCACTGTATCTATTGTGATTTCACCAGATAGGATCTATTCTTAAAATGCTGCCTATGGTCAGTATCATAAAATTGCTGTGTGAGATCCATAAGGTGTTAACTAAGAAACTTCTTTATATATATTTTTTGCTTTGATTTCTGCACCTTTGTCTTTATTCTTTTCTTTTTTTTATTTTTCCTCTTTTTTCTTTCTAAATATCAGTTTATGTTAGTTTTTGTTCTATATTAAAAATTGTAAAAAAAAATATAAAAATAATTCAAATTCCTTGCAATGTTACACCAATCCATGTAACACAATCCATGCAGTGAAGGTTATTATGGATGAACCGAGCATTATTTTGATGGTATAATCCTGACCAGTCACTTTTAAATAAAAGCTTTTATTATCATTATTAAAAATGATGTTCTGAAATGGTGTAGTTTGGTGAATGTCCTTGACACGTTTATCCCCAGGGGATTTCTCCTGTATCCTTTCATCTGAAATAATGTTGAGAAAGTTTAGACTCCTTTTCACTGTGACATATTTATGCTACTATGAAAAGCCTTTGATAGATGCAAATAAACAGGAACACTTTTCCCCCTCAGGGAAACAAACAAACCTGGGAAAAGGTTGCTCATCCCAATTCATTGCACCAATCGTAGGAAAGGGCAAGAGGGAATGGGGACAGTAAGGAAAACAAGGATTGTTCAGTCAGGTTCAGTTCTTCCCTCTGCTCCCATCTCTATTGCTCTAATAGCAAAATGGCAAACATTTCTGTGTCTGTCTAAAAAAAAAAGCTCTGCATGGATATTTCCATGTAGGTCACTAGAAACCAAGCTTGATTAGAAAACAACTTTACTTTTCCCAGAAGTTAGCACAAATGCTATTTCAGCCTTAATTGATTACAGTGAAAGCCTATGACTCAGAAACAAATCCTATCTCACCCTTTTGACTGGAATTTGCATGTAGGATTGCAGTTTAAGAGATTGTACCATAACCCAATGATTAATAGACTATTTCTGGGAAGCAAAGCAATGCTAAAACCTTGCTGAGGTCTTTGGGATAGTATATATGAGGTTGATTTGTATGACACGCTAAACTGAAACAAAACTATTTGAGAATAAAGTCATTCACAGCTGAGTTCTGAAGACAATTAGCTGTGTACACAGTAGAAGCATCCTTGCTTTAAAATATTTTCCAAATAAAAATACCCAGGTGTGCCTTCATCATTCTAACATAACTGTGGCTCACCAATCCTGCAAAAGATAGTTTTCCTCACACATATAGGATTTTTCAGAAGGATCAGCTGTATTCTGAAGAAATTGAGCAAGTAGTACATCTAGGTTGTCAAGTAGATGTTTCTACAGTCTATCAAAGTTGCCACATATAGGTTTGCTGAGTGAACTGATGGCTATCTATATTTCCATCTATTGCAACAAATAACCTAGTCCACTATGTCAAGTAAATCTAATGCAGTAAATGTTAGGAAGATGACATCAATAAAATGTGCAATCTTTCTGTGGCATGTCAATAAGGACATGTCATGTTGTGGGAAATAAAATTGGTCCTCTCCTTGACAGCATTTAGATGGGCAGCAGACCCCAGTAGAGTCCAAAAATAGTATGCTTTTATCAATAATGCTTTTATCAATAAATGAGACAATACCTCTAGCAAAGCATGCCTGTGGAGATGATGTGGGAAAATGCTGAAGCATCATAACAAATGTTCAGGAGGACACCCCTGCTTTAAGACTCTGAAGATAGACATTGAACTGCTGGCACTGGCCTTTGAATGTTTTGTATAACACTAACATGAACATGTTCTTACTTTCCTGCCTTATCTCTCTACCTATCCAATTCTTTTGAGGAAGAGGGCAATGCTTCTGATGGCTTCTTAACTTCCCTGGCTTTGCTTCTTCAGTCATAGTATACCAAGGAATGGCATCATTTGTTGACTGTCAAAGACTACATTCCATTGGGGATAATAATCTACCTCAGTCAGATGTTAAGAATGGTTGAAACAAGTTTAACACGGAATCAAATGTTGGTGAGAAAACCTACTCCATCTATGAAACCTTAACCCTCTAACCCTCTTTTTGAGCCTTGTTCTGATCCTTTCTCATTATTGTTTTACAAAAGCCTTGAACTCATTATACTGCAAGTTAATGAAATTAGACAGATGACCATAAGATCACAAGTAGCTTCAAGGTGCTGATTGGCTATACCTGTACTGTATGTTAAATGTATACAGTAGTTAGCAAATATATATTTTTAATATAGACAAAGAAGAGAGATGTTGGAATGGATTAGGAAGAATGACAAGGCTAAAATAATCAATTTGTAGACTCTATGTGTGTAATTCTTGACTACTTCTATTACATACTACAGCTTAACAGTAACAGAGTTGGAAGGTACCTTGGAGGTCATCTAGTCCAACCACCTGCTCATGCAGGAGACCTATACTGGGGATTCAAACTGCCAAACAGCCAACCTTTCTGATTGGCAAGCTCAGCCTCTTAGCCACTGAGCCACCTAGCCAGGCACTACAAATTTCATATATACTAGATTTTTTTTTATCTTGGCTCACATTGACCTACTATTATATGTATTATGGAGATAATGGAGAAATATTATTATCTCTCAACAGCAATCATAGGTGCGTGCTCAGATACAGAGGATGAGGCAGTATTGAGTGCATTGTTCATTGCCACTACCCATAGTATCTGGCGCTCATACATCTGATTATCATAAATTTAAGCATACAAATTATACAATTTTAGCATACATGCAAAATTTTAGCATATTAATCATGCAATAACATAATCAGGGAAGACCTGTAAACAGTGGTATTTCATTAAAGCACATATTTTGGATTATATCATTGCCTTTTTGGCATTGGCTACATAGCCAATTCTAAATGAACACAGATTTAAAAAGAAAAGCATAAAATACATAGGTTTTCTGAACCAACATTGTGAACTGATATATTTGTACATTGCATGATCAAACTGCATAGTTTTAAGACAGTAGAAAATATTTTGAGGCATAAAATATTAAAAGATTTTGTCTTAATCTTGGGTATGCTTTTTGAAGTTAGCAGTGTTATGCCCTCAATTAACTGCTGAAGAGTAAAACTGTTTTTGTCTCTAAGGTCCTATTGTATTAGTTTATATTAATTTGGACAATCCTGGCAGCCAAAGGCTATTATATTCATACTTAATGTCAAAATGAAAAATATCCAATCAGAAGCCCACCAACACATATACACAAAGCATGAGAGATACAGACTAATTGGTGTAAAAATGCAATCACAAAATGTACATAATAAATTTTGCCTGTCTAGCTTTAATGAATCAATATGGTTTGTTTGTGCCCAGTCAAGCAGAGGTTTTGCAAGCACAAACATCTTTTTTTACATTATTAGTTTGTTTTAGATTAAAAAGTATGGAAATAAATTGGTAACAAAATTACATGAACGGCAAGGTTATAACTTCTTTTACAGGTATTATTGCTTTTAAATAAGCTACAATCTGAAATTATTAGATCAACACCATTTCATTGCTCTCATCAATATTTCAATGATTCAATAGCCAGTGTACATATTTATACAAAGACCCTTTTTTAATTTTGGAAAAGAAAAGGAAGGGGAAAAGTACAGAATAAAATATATGAAAATTCAGAAAATTTCAAATATGATAAGAGGAATATTCTCAGAGAAGAAAGATACGATATTTATACATTCAGTTTTAATTTACAACGCATAAAGGAATTTATCCTGCTTTCTCCTTCTTACTACCTTCTTCTCTGCACCTTCCTTTAGCTCCTTCCTAGCCAAATGAGGAAAATGGGCAAAAGTATGAAGGTCTCACCTAAAGCCATTAATAACCAAGATTGCAGCTCATCCACTCATGAGAACTTCCTTGTGTTAAACATGCATCTTTGCACAAAACAGATCCAGAAATGGCTCATAATCCATCCTAGGAAGATTTAGCAAAGTGATCTTGCTTTGAATGTATTTCAAGAATATTGAGTTGGGAGTGGTTATGTTCCTGATAGCAATGTTCTCTAGTGCCTCTCATAGACCATACCAACATTTTCTTAGATAGCTTCATGTTTCATGACCAAATGTTGTAATTTTTTTTTAGGGGCAGAGGGATGGAAAGAAAAAGACAGAAGTGTGCATGTTCCTCAAGGAGTAACAATAATTTTCTTATTTTACTTCTAAAACATTTTAATTTTACTAGAAAACCTTGACACCAGCATTTTGTTAGCATGAATGTTTCAGGATTTACAAATCCTAAAGAAAAAAAAGTAGACTGAAAAGAAATGAGATTTATTTATTTTCTTACAAGACAATTTTCAATTAAGTTCAGGTTAGGATTTCAACTTCTGCTATATACCCTAAAAATGAAAAGAATTCTGACATTTTTTGAGAAAAGGAGGAGAAAGAGATGAAAAAAGAAAAAAAAAGAAGTTGTCCTAGCATAACATAGAGAGGTCACTTGGATATTACATAATTAAACTAATTCCATAACTATCTAGGCAGTAACTTAGTTGATATCACATATGCACTTAGGAATAAAATTCAAGAGGATGTAGAATATTAGTAAAACTAAAACCATTTAATTGTGAATATGGATTCCAAGAATACTGCATACCTCTACCTATGTAGATAAGAAACAATTTCTTTCTTCTTCCCACTGATTGGTGTATTTTATACACTTTGAGTATCTAGTGAATTGTGAAAACTAAAGGATAACCCCAATGTTACATGAGCATACTATTTATTATTAAAATGCTGTCATTCTCTTTTTCCCTAGAAAGCAATAACAATTTAATCCCTAAATCTGATTACAGATATTCAGTGAAAATTCAGCACAGGAGACATAGGGGCATTTAGGAAAAGAATGGGATGTTATTTTTAATTACTGTAAATTAAAAACATATATTCTTTATATGACTCTCCAGTGGTGACTATTTTTCTTCTTTTTCTTCCAGACCATATATGTACATTTCACCATAAAAACTGATCTTCAATGACCAAAAATATCTTGTTTGGATCTTAATTATTCAGACGTACTTAACCTAATATCTGCATAAATCAAATCAAGGAACCTACAGTGCTTCAAATCATTTCTTCCAGTTAATCCTGTTGGATGCTTTGTTTTTATGAGGGTTCAACTCACTGGCTTCTGTGCAGATATTTAAGAATAAACTTATTTGTAAAAGTGAGAAGATGGGACAGAAAGGGGAAACAAACTTAAAAGAAAAAAAATGGTTTACTATTGATGGATCTATTTTTCTCACAAATCTATGCATCAGGGAGGGAAATACCACAAACTGTTTTTATGCTTGTTATTTACACTCTATGCAAATGCAAAATAGGAGGTATCAGATATATATGTGTACTATTTAAGTGATAAGTAATATTCTAAAAGAGTAATAAAAAAGAAGAAGCAGAGAAACAGATAACTGAAACATTCACAATTAAGATCAAATCAAGCAAAAAAAAATATTCACCCAATAACAATACACCTGTTTTGATTGGGTGGCTTCAGGCCCAGTGTTGTTCAAATGACCAAATGAAATGGGTCGCAAAGAAACCTATTATCTGCACATGTTGAATTGCGACTCAATGGCTCAGCAAGGCATCAAAGTGAGGCCTGTCCTGCTGAAAAGGAACAGCCTGGATTCGGTTGATTTTAGGAGACATCCACACCATCGCAGAAGCAAATCACAACAAGTCCGATTTAAAGAGGATGGAGCAGATAATCCAACAGTTGTAGAATCAGAGCTGGAGGCAGGAGATACCCAAGATCCATGTGTATTGGATACAATACAAACCTCCCAAGCCCATAACTTAGTAAACGATTCCCTCTGTTTGCCGCCATCTTGCAAAGGATTACAAAATATTGCCATACAGACTTCTCCAAGCCTCAGGAAGCATTTTCCAGTGTTTAAAAAGAAAAGAATTACAACAAGCAAGTCTCTAACTGAAATGCCAAAAGAGTCTGAATATGCTTTTCAAGTCAATGGCAATCTTTCTCAACAGGACATTATCTCGTCTAGTCTCTCTTACTTGAGTATCACTCAGCATTTAAATGATGGGCCAAAAGCAACAGCAAATACTTTTTTCCGAAGGGTACCTAAAGCACAAAGCAATGGCCCTGTCCATTTGGGTTCTGATCAACTTGCAATATTAGAAACAGCCACTGTTTCTACCCAGGTCCCTGAATATGCACACCTGGGTTCTACACTAGACAATTTTTCCATTTATCCAGACATACAAGTGGACTTAAGGACCTCCACTGATCCTTCTCCCACTAAGAGGGAATCTGAGGAAATCTGTTCTATGCTAGTGGAATCTGAAAACCTGACTTGTGTAAGTCAGAACTGTAATGATGCGCAAATGGGTCAGAATTTGTGTGAAGAGAAATGCTACACTGAGCTGCCATCTAAGAATGACATTAGCGCTAAGGAAAACTTTCTCCCACTGTCTCAGTTTCACCACAATCCTTTACCCTGCTCTCTCCCAGAGCCTCAGCAGTCAGTACAACTGCAAGTAGACACTGGCTCTAAGATACAGATGAATGACAACCAAACGACATTATTCACTATCAACAGTGTGTCACCTCTTATTCCCTCTTGTCAATCTGTAACAGAAAACATTTCCACTAATACCGAAGTGCCACAGTACAAAAACTGCTTAGAAGACTTTCACATAAATGCCTATCTTTCAGGGGCTGAAACAAAATCGGAAAAGAAAGAGATTAAAGAAATTAATCAAATTCATTTGGCACACACTGAACTCTGTGCCCTACAAGGCAGACTTCAGTCCGTGGAGGAATCTTTGCTGTCAAACCAGGAGAAGATTAAAGTCCTCTTGAATGTAATTCAAGACATGGAAAAGGCCAGAGCCCTCAATGAAGGGTATGTTGTGTTCTTATATTTACAATTTACAATTACAATACAATTACTTTATTCAAGCTAACTATTTGACTCTCGTGTATATTTTTAGGAAAACAGTCGATTAGCAAAACCATATTTTCGATGCTATTTCTACACTGCTTTTTCTTCATTGTAAATTTAGTCAATAATCTCTTCAGATGCCTTTTCAGCATGAATTTTATGCAACGTATCAATGTTAAGTAAAGCTGAGATGCTAAAATTTTGCTAGCCTAAGAAGCTTTCATTCTCCTGGCCTCTTTCATTCTGATTCAAATAGTGTTACATTATACATGGGACTAGCACAAATCTGATTTGTTGGTAAAAGCATGTTAAAAACCCTGAAATTGGCCACCTGCCCCCCACTGTTTTTTTTTAAAGTTTCCTCAGCTATTGAATCCTGGTAAAAGGGGAAGAGAATTCTCAAGATCATCCTGTAAATTTAGTAGCAGTACTAGCATCTGAAGCATCAGGCCTTCTCTTTAGACAGACAGACAGACAGACAGACACATACACACATACACACATACACACATACACACATACACACATACACACATACACACACACACACCAAACTGAAATCTAAGAATTTAAATTAGAAGTGATGTTTTATATATAACCATTGCCTTTCTGACTTAAATTCATTTTACTGTATATACATGGTGAAAGATATGTAANCCATCTTTTTTGTTATTGTATTGAAGTATTCTCATTGTATTCTTTTTCATTGTTTATGGTTATTGTATTTTACTTCTGTTTCCACTCCTTTCATTTTCTTCCTTTTTATTATTATAAGCCATCTAGAGCAGCTCCACAGCAAGATAGGTAGCAAATAATTTTACAAATAATTAGGCTAGAAAAAATATTTGGAGATTTGGAACTGATTGAGGCAGTCTGTTCAGAAATTTCTGGCATGCCTTTCAAAGTACTGGCCCATATTGTGCATTCCTGAATGAAGGCCCACTTGCTTTTTATATGTTCTGGATCAGAATAACAGAGTTGGAAGGGAACTTGGAAATCTTCTAGTCCAATCCCCTGCTCAAGGAGGAGACCCTATACTATTTCAAACATCTGGTTGTCCAATCTCTTCTTTGAAATCTCCAATGTTGGAGTACCCACAACTTCTGGAGGCAGGTGGTTCCACTGATTAATTGTTTTAATTGTCAGGAAATTTCTCCTTAGTTCTAGATTAGTTCACTTCTTGATTAGTTTCCATCCATTGCTTCTAGTCCTGCCTTCAGATCAGTTCTGGACAAGTATTACTGATACTCTCCCATACTTTTGTCTAACTTTAAAACAATGAATGTGACCTTCCTGCTTTATTACAATATTTACTGCAAATGGTATGTTTCATTAATTAGAAATTTGTGAATATTTTGTTGGAGCGGAGGACTAAAGTAGGGAATTAGCCTGGAGTCAATATATTAACACAAGAGAGCAAGGTCTGACACGCACTCCTATCCCCCGTGACTTGAGCCTTATCAGTCTTTTCCAGATGAAAGCTGCTAGTCTGGGGATATTCCTGTATTATAGGCAGAGAATAATAAAATAGGTTGTTTTGAACTCTACATATGTGGTTCTTGCCTGATAGTTTGATAGTAATTAAACTGCATTTTCTGATCAATGTTTATATTGGAAATTGTGGACCAGCACCCATACTGCTTTGATGCAGTTCTTGATTCTAAAGTTTAAAAATACTTNACACATACACACATACACACATACACACATACACACATACACACACACACACCAAACTGAAATCTAAGAATTTAAATTAGAAGTGATGTTTTATATATAACCATTGCCTTTCTGACTTAAATTCATTTTACTGTATATACATGGTGAAAGATATGTAAGATATTATTAAATTCTACTTGCTGTAATTACTGATAACTACAAGTAGGAAACTCTTATGCTAGGATACAGAACTCCATGATTTTTTTTTTCTTACAAAAAGTATTATCCTTTGATTACTGTCCACTTACAAAGCTACAAAAAAAATAGTATATTTTATACCTCTTTTTATGTAAAAATAACTAGATTTGGTTAGGACTTACATGGTACACTAACAAAAAATCCATTTGAAGTTAGCATATCATTATTACAGGATGTAAATATGCTTTCACACATACTATTATTTGCTGTTGATTCTAAAATCATGAATTATGGAATTAAATATGTGTGTGCTTTCTGATGCATACTGATGGACCAGTAATACCTAACCCTTTAAAATACCAGCTTTTTAATGATAAAACTTACTTTAAAATGGAACTTCTAGAAAGCAAGCTACTCAATCAAATGATCAATTTAAATGGATGGAACTCATATTACCAATTTTTAAAGATTTTTTTCAAAGAATCTCTCAAATTTGGAAAGCATTGATGTGGCACAAAAAATGGAAGAGAAACTTTTTTTAATAACTGTAAAAATGAAATAAATCATATGAATGAAATCACATAAAAGAGAAAGGTCTAAACTAAAAATGAAAATAATTTACATCTCAAACTCAAGAGTGAGGGAGCAAATCTGAGTCACTTGCTCGGCTTTCATAGCAGTAACTCTTCAACAGGCCCAACTTCCTGCTCATTGCCAAATTGTGATATTCTGCTTGGACAAGGCAATAGTCTGCTTGTCCAGACAGAACAAGAGCCATGTTTAACAGAAAGAATTTAATTCACTGTAGGGGAATATTATAGAAATTCCCTAATTACTGTGAATGCCATAGTACCCCTAATTTTCAGACTGCTTCCATTATAATAAACTACTTCATCCTTATTGGGTGTCATGCTACTGCAATTAACATATTTGTTCCACTCAGCCAGAAACATTTACGCTAACCCCTTCATTAAAAGGGGACATCAAAAAAAACAAAAAACCATGACCTAGATATTCAACAAGAAGCAAAACTGGTTCCATTTTTTTTTACTTTCCTAATCAATCAGCACTAAATTTGTATTTCCTACAAGTATGTTTTTTAAAAATATTTTATAAAGTTGAAATGTTTTAAGTATTTAAAACCACTGGGAAAAAATTACTATTATTAAACAACTTATATTTTGCTTTTGTGCAAATCCTACCTTGAGTCTAACATAATTTCATTCATCCCAATGTATTTGGCTGTGGGTCCCCTTTCATAATATGAATTTCTCTGAATTCATCTCATTTAGATAAACTGTATTTGGATGCACATGAGGCACAAGGTGTGGAAGCTTGATATTTACTCTGAATGTTAAAAATACTGCCAAAGCAATTACAACCTGAAATGCACAAACAATATCAGTTCCAATTTCTGTATCTATCAGAAGAACTTAATAGCCATAAAATGATTCATTAGTGTGAAAGGCAAGGTTTACTGCCATTCCAATTGCATAAGTTCAGGACCAAAGATGCTTCAGTGGTCTTTAACAACTAGTGAAATTCCATAATAGCTCTAAAATGTGTTTGCTAACTCCAGTCTTCACTGATGCAGTCATAATGTTAAGAGTTTTTAGATTCCTTAAGTAAAAATGATCCTTTGCAGAGGAAAAAATGCAACAGCTTACAATAGCGTAAGCTTATGCTACAGTAATTAGCATATTTATTTCACTCGGCTAGAAACAAGCCAAACCTCACAGGAAAATGAAATAGTTCAACAATAGTCCAAAGCCAACTTGGTCTCATAGATAATATACTCATTCTTTAAGAATTAATGATTTGTCCCTCGTGTATTCTTGGAACTCTCATCTGTTGTTTTATGAATAAAGGAAGCATTTATTTACTGAATTAGATTTTCCCTTAGTGTTGAATATGTGTATATGCAGTTTTGTTTACCTTCATGTGCACAATAATTATAGAACAGTACAAAGGGCAAGGGGAAGTCACCAAAATATACCACTACAGAAAGATGATGATGATGATAGATAGATAGATAGATAGATAGATAGATAGATAGATAGATAGATAGATAGATAGAT